AATCAAAAAGAGGTATCAGTCCATCCCTAAGAATTTCAATCAGCAGCTAACTGTGAGCGCTAATCTTCATTGACGATCACTGGCAGGAAAATCATCATCATCATCATCATCTTCTTCTTCGTCTTCTTCTTCTTCTTCTATGGATTTAATGGCGGTTGGCAAACCAAGTCAAGGCGCATAACCGCCACCAGCTGGACTGCTGGAAAATGTCGTCGTAAACACCTGTTCTTCAAACTAAGCCAACTTGAGGTGCGGTACCGCCACCTACCGTCACTTCCTGTCCTCACAGGAGAGGCTGCACCGGAAGTGACCTGACAGTGGAGGTCTGCAGCCAGGTGCCTCTCGTCTCTATGTGTCTGGACCCACTTCCTGCTTTCAGCTTCTGCTTTCAATCAGTGTGTTTTTTTCTGTTTTTGATCGTTTTGACAAATTTGTAGAACAGACTTAAAGACGACGGCGTCCTCATGAAGGTCTTCTGACAGGTTCGTGGTGAGTTTATTGATGTGACGTATAGAGTGGAGTCAAGTCTCTGGTTTCTGTTGGGCTCATCTCAAACAACAGCTGCTGCACCAGAGAGCTTCTGGTCCAAACAGAACCAAGTTACCGACCAGCATCAGCTTCAGTGTTTCTGGTGTGAACACATGCAGAGGCTTCAGACTTGGCTGATGTCTGCTGCTGTCTCTCCTTCAGTGTGGATGTGAATGTGTGGCTCTTTTCTTCCCATCACCCTGATTGATTATGTCAACATACAGAACGGTTCCACAGCGTTCCAAAGGCCTTGATCAGAACGTGGCCGACACACACTGAGGAGGCGTCTCTGTTGTGTGTTCGGTCGCTAACGCACAGCTCCCTGCCTCCCGGGGTTACCACGGCAACAGCCAAACGTTCCCCAGCAGAGTCTCTTCTGAGCGACGGCGGTTTGGTCGACTCGCTGTGGTCGGGTCCAGAGTTTGGGAGCAGCAGGACTCTGGAGCAGACAGGTGAGTCCGGCTGAGGACACTTTACGGTTCCAGTGGATGATGATCAGAGCAGCAGCAGCAGCTCAGAGTCCAAACAGGAGCTTTCATTTCTCCTCCTACAGTTCTGATCAGAAACAACTCTTCTTCTCTGTGTTTGGACTTCTTCATTCACTCAGAGAGCGATCTGCCTAAAACTCGTCTTGTGCTTCTTTCACATCACTTCTGTGACATTTCGCTGCATATTTGAGGCTTTCAGCTCCATAACTGAGCAGCTGATGGTTTACGGAGCGATCAGTGTTTCCTGAGAGGAAGCTCTGGATGACATGTAGCAGCAGGGATCCGCTGATGAGCCGCCTGGTTCTGGCCTCTGGTACCGAGTGTTTTCTGGTTGTGGCTCCGACGGCCTCCTCTCTGTGTGTCTCGTCGCTCTGATCTCAGCAACGTCCCGCCCACAGCAGCATCTGATTGGCTGCATGTCTGGAGTGACAGGCTGTTCTCAGAACACATCAAGAACCATGAAGAACTCACACATGCTGGAGTTTGGTTCTGCTCAAGTTTAACATCACAGCTTCATGTTTACTGTAAATGTGGCTCAGTTCTGAATGTCGCTTCTATTCTCCCCGATCTCTGATCATCACTTTCACCATCGGCCCAAACACAGATCAGTGGAGGCCTTTACAGGAGGTGAGTTTCAGGCATCGGTGAGGTTTTCACAACACGTTTCCCTGAATGTCTGTGGAGCAGATGCAGAAAGCTGCAGCCAGAACAGCTCTCTGTGGGCCCTTCACACACTGTTGAAAGTGTGCCGTTTGTCAGCAGCCACAGAAGCAGCTCTGATCAAAGTGTGTGTTTGTGTCTTGTTTCTGTTCAGTCCATCACCTGTGCAGCCCTCAGACTGACCTGCTGAGCCCTTGGTGTGTCCCAACCCCCAGAGAGACTGAGCCGAGCCTTATTACAGCATTTACACTCATTTCCTCTGGTTGCCTCGTCACCAGTCAGGGAGCAGCACGTGTTGGGCCTCGTTACGCCGTCTCAGTGTGTGGAGGTCAAAGGCGGCGTCTCCGTGTAGCTGCCGACGCTGCTGATGCGTGGTGCATCTCAGATGGCAGATCCAGACTCTCCGTCTCCAGCTGAGGTTCCACAGGGAGGACGGCCGTCCATCGTTCCCCCACACAGCAGCTGCCGGGCCGGGCTGAGCGGCTCCGCTCCGTCCCCGGACACGGAGCTCCAGGCGGGAGGGCAGGGACGGAGGTCTGGCCCAGAACGGAGCCTCGGTCCTGGGCTGAGGAGCCACACTGGACCTGGGAGGGAGGAAGGTGAGGAGGAGGACAGAGCTGCTGAGCTTCAGCTCCACAGAGGTGCAGACACACCGACTCAGCCTGAGACTGTGAGCAGAGCTGAGGCTAAAGCCAGCGCTAACGCTAATGTACAGGGCTAAAATGTCAACTATAGAATAAATAGGTACACAGTTTTATTGTTTAAAAAAATGCCATAAAAAAGGTTTTGAAAATGAATTGAGAGTGGTACAGTTCAACAGTCATTTAATGTGTTAAAATAGACACCCTCTATGTACATTTTTTTATTTAATTGCTTTCTTCTTAAATAAGTTTTCGAACATAGTTTCATGATTTCATATTACAAGTTCTGTGTTAAAGCAATACTAAAAACGGTCACTAGATGGCGCAGAGCGCTGGTGAGGAACGTGAAACCCCAAAGAGAATAAATCCTGCAGGTGCGCTCAGAGCGAGCTCCTGCTTCGTGCCTCTTTGTTTATACATACAGATAGCGCTACAGGATTATGTCATACCCCACCTGACACCTGCCGGGGGGGGGGGCAGGGCAGGGCAGCATTAAACTCTAAGGTGTCTAACATGTACCAGTGAAACCAGGAGCTAAGAGACGTTCAGCAGATGTGAAGCTCCGTAAACGTCCGTCATGTAGAATGCTGACGCTGATGTGAACCTGGCCTGTCCCTGATGTGAATGTCAAAGCTGATGCTTGTTTGAGCGACTGCTGGACCGCGGCTCATTTCATTACAACAGACGAGGAATGAAAACGGGTCGCCAAGGCGCCGCTGGGCTCCGGTCCAGATGCAGCTGCTGTGTTCTGAGTCCAGTTTCCTGATTCTTGTCCTCTCACATGGTTTCCTCCAGATGTGGCGGCCAGACGACACCGGCCAATAGGAGGCCAGAGCCTGACAGCCGTTGATCACATGACTTGTGCCTCCTCGGTGAGGAACCAGAAACAGCCACAGGAGGCGCTGTGGCGCTCTGAGGTAGGCGATTCATCAACACACCTGTTCTAGGACAGCAAGAGCTCTGATGTGACCTGGTCTGACTTTACTTTGTCGTTTCTCGTCTGATTTTGTCCTCTGCTCAGACATGAACACACCACAAGCCTCCGTGGCCTCTCGGATCACATAGACGGAGTGACCACGCGTCAGTGAGTGTGTTCTGATCTGAATTCATGAGGGCATTCACACCTGGAAACACCTGGTCTGGCCCACTTGAACATGTTCATGACAGTGAGCAGCTGTCCGAGCACATCATGGAGGGTTCTTGTAGGTTTCAGCCAACGTCTGGTTTTCTGTTGATCTCCTGAAGCGACAGATTCGTGTGATCGTTGATCTGATTGTCTTTGAGTCTCCTCGTCACCTCTGGACTGACTGGTGGGTTGCAGGTTGTTCAGGCGTTTGGCTACAACTCTGACTGTCTCACCTGGTTTTCAGGTAGTTCTCAGCCTCAGCAGGCTGCTGCTGTTTGGAACACCTGTAAAAACCAGAGACGTTCCAGTCCGACCTCAGAGATGGGGTTGGATTCTGGCCGTCACTGTCGAGCTGACTGGCATCAGCTTCGTCCTGATGGTCTCTGACATGCAGCATCAGTCAACACTCATGAAGCGATGACTCACTCTGAGCAGAGTCGGTGCTCAGTCTGTACAGTAAAGTCAGCTCTGTTCCATCTGTTGCTGAGAGATACGAACTCTGTCTTAGTTGATCCCAGCTTGTCTGAAACTCTGGTTGGAGCTCATGAACGTCCTCAGAGTCTCTGTCATGGTCCCGTTGCTGCTAAAGTCCAGCTAAAGCTCGTAGTCTGTAGACGCCTCCTCTGGTCTCTACAGGATTAAACAGTGAGAGGCTCCACCTGGTGGAACAACCAGGTACTGCAGCTGGTCTGTCTTTTAGGTTCAGAAAAATGGTGTCCGGTCGGCAGAAACTCAATATTAACTCAGGTGGTGGTTAGCCAGCAGCTGGACAGCCTGATATTTCCCTCCAGAGGTGGTGGAGACCAAAGACGGAGCTAAAAGAGAGGAAATCCTGGACTTTTATCTGTCAGATGGACATAACAGACTCCAAGTGAATCATTGCGTTGCTCCATAACTGCAGGATGTCTAACAAGTTGTGTTCGCAGCTGTTTCTGTGGCTGAAAACCATCTGCAGCTTGTTGCACGTTTCAATAAACCGACTCCAGAGACTGACAGAGAGGCAGAAGCACTTCCTCTGTACCGAATTTGTGGCGACTCATTTCTGCTCAGGTGGCCGGTAAAAGGATGTTGCTGCTGTCCAATGAGGCGAGGAGAGAGATAGCCAAGCAGGCCAGAGCCATGAAGGAGGAGAGGCGAGCAGCGCTGGACGCCCGACACGAACACCTGATGGGCAGGCTGGTGGATGCTGGGACGCTGCAGCAGCCGGAGGTGGAGGACGCCCTCATCTCTGATGACAAGGTAACGCCTCAGTGCTCCTCAGGCCCCGTTCACACCTAACGGACGGCCTTTGGTTTACACGGAGGACACGGAGTGTGACGTCACAGTGAGCGACCATGTTTAGGGTCGGGCTGCTGTGATAGATGGATGCTGTTGGGGCGGCGCTGGTTTTTAGGTCTGAGCGACGCCTGTTTGCATTTACATTCAGACGACCCTCGCTCCGTTATCGCTGAAGAAGCAGGAAGTGCCATTGGTTGTTGTGTGTTTTCCAGGACTCTGACTGGCTAGCATGGCTTTCTGCTCCTCGCTACACTGCCCCCTGTAGGTCTGGCAGCTCATAGCAGCTCTTAACCACGTGTTTAAACCAAGACGTTTTTTTGAAAACGATCTGGTCTGAACGTTGTTATTTCTGAAAGCGTAGATGCGTTGTTGTGAATACGGGCTACGTGTGGACGTGGCCTCAGGCTGGAGAGAACTGGTCCATCCTCAGCACCTCATCTCTGCATCTTTCATGTCTGCTTCTTCCAGTTCTGCCTGATCGATGATTTCTTTGCTGCAAATGGATCCAGGAAGCTGATTTTCTTCTGTCAGAGCGTGAAGCAGGTTTGGACACAGATACATACGTGTTCATTGAAATGACTGCTGTGTGCAGCTGCTGCTGTCCTTTCATTTGCCTCTCTGCTCTTTCTGTCCATGTTTGTCCCCAGAGTCTGGCCTCCTCTCAGCCCTGCTTCATGGAGTCGAGCTCAGCTGTGGCTCAGAGGAAACTCTTCCTGTCGACTGGCAGCTCTGAGGTAGCTTCAGCTTCACAGACACGAGGCCGAGGCAGTCAGGAGACGCTTGTGTTTGGTGCAAACCTGCGCACATATAAGATCCAGAAGCTGCTGAGCTGGAGGAAACAGTTTGTTGGTTTGTGTGTGAGACAGTTCAAGAGCTAATGCTGAGCTGTGGGGGGAAGGTTCACAGCAACCAGAGGACAGATCTGTCAGAGGAGCTGCTCACTTGTGTCTGGTTTCACAACAATGCTGCTTCTGTTCTCTATTGTCCTGCTCAGAGCTACTAACGGCTCCTCTGTTGTGTTTCTATGGACGCAAATCCTGTGTTTGGTGATTGAGACACACCTGCAGGTACACAGTGAAGGCTGCTGGCCGTCAGTGTGACTCCCAGCGCGATGTGAAGCTGGTGGTGAGCTGATGAAGCCTGATGGTGTGTTTTCATCGCTCTGAGATTCAGCTGCTGGATGTTGCAGCAGCAGGTCTTCTTATTCTGGGCTGGATGTGTGCCACCACAACATGCTGCTGTCAGGCCATGTAATCAGTCACTACATTATTCAGCCTCTTTATAATTAAGGATTTTGAATCCAACCATGGGCTGCAGGTGTCTCAGTGGGTAGCACTGTTGCCCCACAGCAAGAAGGTCGCTGGTTGGCGTCCCGGTGAGGACACCCAGGATCTTCCTGTGTGGAGTCTCCATGTTCTCCCCGTGCAGCGTGGGTTCTCTCCGGGTTCTCCGGCTTCCTCCCACAGTCCAGAAACATGCTGAGGTTAATTGGTGATTGTAAATTGTCCGTAGGTGTGAATGTGAGTGTGCTTGGTTGTCTGTCTCTAAGTGTAGCCCTGTGATAGACTGGTTACCTGTCCAGGTGAACCTGCCTTCACCCTCAGTCAGCTGGGATAGGCTCCAGCCCCCCATGACCCTAGTGAGGATGAAGGTGTGGAGATGATGGATGGAATTCAACCACATGAAGGTACACAGGTTACATTTTGCAGGTGTGACGTGGCCTCGTTCAGACTCACTGTGTCCGTACAGGGATTCCTTCAGGGTTTCAGCTCCAAACACCACAAACATGGTGGACTTCTCTGTAAAGCCCTGGTGTCGGTTCTGTTCCTACCGAGCTGTTTCTGCTCAGCGTAGAGATGAAGTGGCTGCTGGTGGACATCGTGTCTCCTCCTGGTTCTGCTGCCTGACAACAGAAGCCTCTGTAGACGAGAGCAGCTTCACTGTGAGTTCCTCTGATACTGCAGTGATGTGAGCACAGCGAGCAGGAGAGAAGCTGCAGATTGAACCATGACGACGCTGAACCACCCAGTCCTGCTTTCCTGGTCTCATGAAAGTTTCCACAGAGCTGTGACCTGATCATAGCTAACGTTAGCCACATTAGCCGCGCGGCGTGCTAACCCTCGGGGCTGTCGCCGCAACAACGGTAGAATCCGCGGCGTCCAGCTCCTCACATGCAGCGGCGCATGAGCACTCGTGTGTTCACTCCAGCAGCACAACATTTGGTGAGTTTTGTTCGTGGTTCAGACGTTTTAGAGTTCAGCAGAAGCAGCTGTACGAAGTAAACAAACCTGAAGGACTGAGAGGCAGCGGCTCATTCTGATTGGCTCACCTGGAGGCAGCGAGGGGGCGGAGCTACAGAGTCTGAGCTGTGTGCCTATTGGTCGGTCCGGCGCGAGGTGCTGCTGGTAAAGCTGAGGGTCAAACTAGTGGTGGACGTGAACGAGTTTATCTGAGCAGCTTTTATTTTCAAGTTCACATCGAGCACAAACACAACAACGTGTGTTTTCACCATTTAATGAAACCCAACGATGAAAACACAGAAACACCAACATGGACGAAGGACTGAAACTCAGCTTGACCTCCAGAGCTCAGAGCAGCAGGATTCAGAGACTTTGGCTCTCAGACAAACTCTCTGTCGTCACTTTTAGCTCTTCTCTGTGTGAACATTGGAGCTGGAACGAGTTTCTTCCCTCAAGCTGTTTAGACTCACTCAGTGAAAACGTCGCCAAAGGAAGCGTCCTGCATTCATATTTTCACCTCAAAGGGAAACAGAACAGAAGTCGTTTGTTGTCCTTGTGCAGCGACGTGAAGCGGCGTTCACACAGTCACACGTTTTTAGAAGAGCTGCCACGACATGAGCATCAGACAGAGAAGATCAGGTCGTTCTTTAAAGGAGAGCTTATTGTGTGTGTGATGAATGTCCCAAGTCCTACTGACCGCCTGCTCTGTTCTGTTAGCGCTCTGTTTACATGCGTCGCCGTAAGCAGTCTTTGTGTTGGTCTTCCCGTGACGTCTACACTAGCGGTTGGTTCAGCGCCACTCATTTATTGACAGGAGATGTGAGAAAATGAAGCAGTCTGCATTCTGTGGACAGTTAGGTCTGTTCTCTGTCTTCAGTCGCTCAGAGGACTGCATCAATCAGCACTATCAGTCCTAGTGGTGGAGTGGCTTGGTGCGTCTGCAGACCTGAGAAAGGTTTCCCGCTTTGGGTCGCAGCACTGGATCCAAAGGCGCCACGCTGACCTTCATCCAGCACCAGTCAGCTCACCAGCTCAGCGCCTCTTTCTGTGTTTTGCAGCCTTTACTGGGGAAATGTCTGTTCTTCCTGAGAACCACCGACAAGGCGATAACCGCCGCCAACGTCCAGCAGGTCAGGAACTCAGCTCCGCCCACCAAACTCAGACCAGCACATTTTCACATCCTCCTCTTCTGCTCAGCGCACAGGGTGGACATGAGGAGTTCATCTACAAGAACAGATCAGTGCATCTCCACAAACCTTCAGAGAACCCACGTCTCCATCGTCCAGCTCAGACGACATCAGTCACACTCCAGTTATCTCTGTTCTTGTCATTTCTGCTGAGTCGGATCCACTCAGCTTCACTTTGATCGATATCGTCTCAAACAAACGAGAAAAAGACGAGTTCTCTGAAACTCTGCTGAAACGGAGTGATCTGTGTTTGTAAATGAACTCTTCCAGAACGTTCAGACTTTCATTCTCTATAAAATCTGCCGCCGACTGTCTGCAGTCTGTTTGAACAAGAACATCTGAGGAACTATTAAAGATCAAAAACAGAACGTTTCTGTTGTTTCTCGTCGTGGCGTTGATCCAGAACCCGTATCAGTGGACAGCAGATCAATGATGAGTGTGGATGAGCTGAACTGTTAAAACAACTGAAGCCTCGTGAAAAGTTCCACGTTTGAGCTCATTAACAATAAACCCGATGAAGCAGAAGTGAACCCGTGATGTTCTCTGAGCCGCATGTAGCTGCAGGTCTCACTAATGCAGAATGAATCAGCAACTGACTGAGCAGGTTTGAGGTCAAATATCGGTGGACGGTCTGATCCAGGTAGAGTTCTGGAGCTTCAGCGGTTCTCAGATAGAACGAGGATTCTACACCAGTCAAAAATAAAAAATAAAAAGCTTCACAATTGTCCAAACAAATGTTGAACGTGACTCATAATTTGTCCAAAAATACAATAAAATGTTTCAGAGCGACTCACAAATTGTCCAAAATGACCCAAAACCTGATTGAAATGAAATTGTTGAAAAACGACATCAAACGTGTCCAAAGTGTCCTGAAACTGGTCCTGTTTGGTCTTCTGGTCCAACGAAGCAGATTCTGAATCAACGGCAGGACGAGACAGATCAGTGAAACCTTCAACACTTCCTCAGATGTTGTTGTTCCAACAGCGTGAAACGAGTGAAAGAACCTGCAGAAGGTGTGTCGGCAGGACATTCCAGAGTCACGTCGTCTTGTTGTTGATGCAGCTAAAGTTTCACAGAGACTGTTTTAAACATCTCTGATGAAGAAGCACCGAGTAACTCAGGAGGTGCAGCAGAAGGTCTCTGATGATGTGACGTGGAATAACTCTGAAGCTTTGCCTCAGACCTCGTGGTGTCCTGAGGAACGTCCTCATGTGTGTCCTACCTGCAGGAGGTGACCTTGGGCGTGTTGGACTGCAGCGACGGCAGCTTCCTCAGCAGTCTGGAAACCCTGCTGGCTGGCATCATGCTACCGGCCCTCCGGTCCCAGCAGGTACACCACCAGCCGTTCTGGGATCTCTGAGGGCTTCACTCAGCAGCGTGGGGCTGTGTCACACTGTGCAGCAGCATTTCATACCTCTGTCGTGGTGGTGTGAGGCACTCAGATAAATCCCCTCCATAAATGACACTGCCAGGTCTTGAGCGCAGCTCTTAAACTTGCTCGGTTCGTTGTGATGTTTCTTAGTGGAAAACTCTTTGGCTGCTGTCTTCAGCGTGCTGCATGAAGAACAGAGCCTGGACTGGACTGGTCCTGATTCACCACCTGGTTGAAGGTGAAGCACACGAGGTTCTCAGCCTGTGAATGCAGCCGTCACCAGCTGTCTGCTCTGTAGGCATCTGCTGGAATGACGGTCTCTGCTGTGATCTGAGCCTCCCTGGTCTGGGTTTGGGCTGCTTTCCCCACATAGCGCTGCTCGTTAGCGCAGAATAGAATAGAATAGAATAGAATAGAATGCTTTTTATTGTCATCATACACAAGGTGCAACGACATTAACAGACAACTCCAGTGGTGCAGAAGTGTAAAAGTAAAAGCATAAAAAGTCAAATAAGGATATATATATACATGTATTTACAAAAGGAGCCAGTAGGACGTACGTACAGTCAGCCAGACAGCAGAATAAATATATTACCCTGTTGGGGTAGGAACACTGTGGATATATGAGGAATATAAATAATGTAAATAAAGAGTTATTATAAGTAATAAATATATACAATATACAGTATCATGTACAATAA